TTTCCGAGAGTTTAATAGCTCAGCAGAGCTCGACCAGCTGCATTCTCTCTGGCTTTCACTGTTCATTCATCATCCCATCTTTTCATTTCCCCCAAATGCTTTTCTTTATATTTGTCACAACCACACAAAGAGATATAGTGTCAAAACAAAAATCACAGCAGAAAAAATAAAATACACGTTTTGGATTTTTTTGTTTAGTTTCAGGTAATCAGCTGTTCAAGTTGAGTCTTTGCCGTTGCTACAGCAGATCTTCCTTCATCTCACCCCATCCCACCATCCTCCTCTGTCCCACCAACCCTCTATCCTACATTACTACATCCACGATCCTCCAGTGGTCCTTTCTCCCCTCCCCATGTATTCTGTTTAGCTTCTACTGACTTTCTTTTCCTCTTCTCCACATATCAACCCTCCACCTCTCCAGATTCTCTTCCATCTGCTCCTTTCTCTTACTGCAGAGCACTATGTTTTCTCTGAGGTCTCCTTCCTGATCTCTTCTGCCTGTCAGCACTGCAATCAAGGGGTCAGTGTTTTATGTTCATCATGTGATAAATAAAGGAATAAATCCAGCTAATAATGTAGTCATGAATTGCTTTTTGACAAACATACAGTGGTGACAATGGATTAGTCCAATTTTGAAGCGACTGGAAAGACATGACTATTTATAAAAGTCCAAAAAATATACAAATGCTTTATTTTTGTATTTCTTTCTGTTTTTGTTTATTACAATATTTTTGTGATTTCAATCTGTTTGATTAAAGTCCACTTGGTTGATTAGTCTTTCCTGTGCATTCATTTTTTGTTCCTTTCTAAGGTGTTTCTTTAACATCTAGTAATAAAATGTTTTCATTTAAGTTCTTAGTCTTGTAAGTTTTCTCATTTGTTCCTAACTTTACAGGAAAACCACAAGAACTCACCATGTTCTTGTACACGTGACCACAAGAACATGTTGAAAAAGCTCCAGAAATCCCATGTGTGCAAAACGTGTCTCACATAACATGTTAATTTAACATCGTCATGTTTCCTCATGTGACTGAAACATTTAAAATCTGTACAGTTTATCTGTAAGATTAATGTTCTTTTAACTCTGACTTTTCAGTGTCAGCAGCATGATTGACATTTCACAACAGAACATCTGCTGGAAAACAGCTGGAGGTGGAGTGGCATTTCTCAACTAATCAATTAGTTCTAAAAAAATAAAAAATAAAAAATTATAGAGCATGGTTTTGACTAAACCTACACAAAGCACTGAATAGATCCATATATGAATAATCCGTATGAATCCGTATGAGGCAAAGTTAAATGCTCACATTCTGAACTCTTTCGGATGATTTTTAATGTAAATCTTTATCTTCAGGATATATAAAGTAACTGTGACTGACAGTCAGATCCAACTGTGCTTTAATGAACAGTGATGCAGAAAACTTTAATTTGAACATTGATAAAGTCATCAGTTTGTTGTCTTGCCTGCTCTCCTTCCAGATGTTTTGCTGAAACCATCATGCTGCTTTCAGCATCTTTGTTTATTTTGTGAATCAGTGACAGTTTAAATTCTCCAGGTTCAGTCCGTTGATCATATGTTGGACTACACAATGCCTCCGCAGTCTGAGTGTTGTCCGTACGAAGGCATCGACCGTTGCGGTCATAATAACAACTGGGATAAGACTCTAAACTGACACGCTAATGTGCATGAGAACCTTCTTGAGAAAAGCTTTGGACGGGGACCGGTTACTGGGATCAGAAACACATGGTATTAACAAAATCACACAAGCAGGAGGAAAATTATCTGATTTGCCATATGCGGACCGTCTAGCGGTGCCAAGTAATACTGCGATGGACAAAAACAGCTGGCCTTATATCAAAAGTGCCAAACACACTCTCACATGTACACAGACACACACAGCCGCACACATACAGTTATAGGTGGAGCGACGTGCTTTGGTAGACAAAACCAGGTCATTTCAAACACATGTGTGTGTTTATATAAGAGCAAACATTATGGGTTTAAAATATGTTTGTTAGTAAATGTTTCATTCATAAGCGTCTGCCTGTGCATGATAAAACTTTCAAGTAGCAAGGTGGACAGTAACATAACTACCGAGGCCTCGAAGTGGACGTCATGAATCTTTGTTTGAGCAGCTGGACACAAACAGAACAACTCTACAACTGCACTGAAAATCTGATAAACAAGCTTCAAAACAACTGGATTAAAAGGCTAACTCATTTCATGAATGTAGAATTTATATTAAGCATTTTAGCTACTCAAAACATGACTAAATATTATATTTATAATATATAATATATTTTATTTATTAACTATTATTTAAGCAGGCAAATCCCAGTGAGATCACAGATCTCTTTTGCAGGGAGGCCTGGGTCTGAAGGCAGTCTAACATGCATGTTTTTGGTCTGTGGGAGGAAACCAGTGTACCCGGAGAAAACCCACGCAAGCTCGAGAAGAACATGCAAACTCCACACAGAAAGACTCCAGGTCCAACCGGGGATTGAACCCAGGACCTTCTTGCTGTGAGGCAACAGTGCTAACCACTGAGCCGTCGTGCTGCCAACTTCTGTGTTACATTATTTATTATTCAGCTAAACTGTAAAATATTTTACAAAACATAAATGTATGACAGTATATAAATATATTGTGGCATTTTAATTCAATTAAAAATACTTTAGTAATCTCAAAGGGAAATCAACTTTTGTTGTAGCCCATCATCCTGGTTTCATTGAGTTTATTTGTTGTTAACCTGTTTTGCCTGTACGGTGGTCAGCCCCTGTTGTTTGAAATGTGCCATACAGTAATACATGCATTCATTACATCTAGGCTCGATTACTGCAATTCACTCCTGTTTGGTATCAGCCAGACCTCCGTTGCACGACTGCAACTGGTTCAGAATGCAGCAGCCCGATTTTTAACCAGTACAGGCAAAAGAGAGCACATTACACCAGTTTTGGCCTCACTGCACTGGTTACCAGTTCACTTTCGAATCCAGTTCAAAATACTCATGTATGTCTACAAATCACTGAACAATTTCGCCCCCCCCCCATCTCTCTGATCTGCTACAACCGTATGTCCCACCTCGTTCCCTGAGGTCAGCAGACCAGTTGCTCCTCACAGTTCCAGGAACTCGTCTTAAGCGCAGAGGGGACAGGGCCTTCTCTGTAGCAGGACCAAGACTTTGGAACGAGTTACCTCTGCTTGTCAGACAGGACCCCTCCCTCTCGGTTTTCAAGTCTTGTTTAAAAACTCACTACTATTCAGTAGCTTTCATCACCAGAGTATCTGTGCTTTGAACCTGTATGCTCCACGCTGGTTTGTCGTCATTATCTGCATCGTTTTTACGTCTATATTCTGATTGACCTCATTTTGTATTTTGCTTTTTGTGTTACCTGTTGTTCTGTCTGTACAGCACTTTGGTTGGCTTTGTTGCTGTTTTAAGTGCTCTATAAATAAAATGGTATGGTATAAAAATAAAATTAACATTGTTTGATTCCATTTTTAAAAGTCATACAATTCACTGTATTGTGGGTTTTCATAGTTTGTGTCATATTTTATTCTATAACTGGATGCATTTTAGCCTCAAATGAGCCACAGTTACATGAAGTACTTATATTAAAAAAATAATTAAATGATCAAAACAGAAAGCTAAAGTGCAGCAAACAGTGGCCGATTCTGATGCGGACTTTTAAAAGTCAGGGCAGCGAATGGCCCATTTATTAAGCCAGTGCGTTTGTTTGTTTGCAGATCATTAAGATTACAATCTACAACTTTGGAAATAAAAACAACAAAACAACAACAACCATGTTTGCATGCTAGTTAGCGGTTTAGATCCGAGGCTCGGCTATCTGCAGTTGATTGACGGCTTAAAATGAACGTTGTTCCAAGAAGAGATTGTACAATCCTTTTAGGAAAGACAACATTTGGTTAAATTAATGTTTTATTCAGAGCTGCACATCAGTGGAAATCTATATCTCAGTCTGTCAGGCAGTCCTCCTCCAGCCATTCGTTCAAATGCAAAGGAAGAATTTCTGAGAATCAACATTGTCGGCATTAAGGAGACGTTTTATAGCATGAACTGATTCTTATTTTATGGTTTTGTATTTTGTTAAACATATTTATTGTATGTATTTGTTCATATTCCAGTTAGAGACGAGCATTTCAAGCAAAAGTAACCAATGAAACAATGTGAGGTTCTGTAAAGGTGCAGCTCACCTGGGGCCATAGTTTTCACTTTGTGAGCCTTTCAAAATAAAACTACAGTGGCACGAACAGCCTTGTGAGGTGTTTGTGTAAAAGTAGCACCCTGTTTAGGAAAGTGGTGGTTAGAAAACAACTTGGTTCTGTTAGCAGTTTGTTACAAGCAGGTGTTGGTAAAACAACAGCAACGATAAAACTTTTTCAAACATGCACTTTGTAACAACTTTTAACAACTAAAGCCGCTGATCATCACTAATTACATTGTAATGATTCATATGTTAATTTATGTGTTTATTGTCACGAGAACCTGTTTACAGTGAAAGGGATCATATCCAATAAAATGTTCATTTGGCTAACTCAGGTTTAAATGCTGAATAACGTGTTCCTTTAAAATACTTTAAAAAAAGTTAATTGAAAGCATAAAACGATGAATCTTTTTACTCTAAAGTTTATGTTTTCTGTCTGATTAATTACGGTTTCAGTTATTCTGGTCTAATTCAACAAGCAGGTGAGTTACTTGACAAAATTGCAGAAATAATCCCAGTTCTGAGGATTTTAGCTGCAGTCTCTTTACAGAATAGGCAGGTCATCACCCTAACAACGGTTAGATGGCTTCAAGTTCTTCTTTTAGTCAAAGGTAATAGTTTGAGACTTTGCTTGAACACCGTGACTCATCATGGCATCATAGTTTGGAAGATGGATACATATTTGGACTCTGCACAACCTTTACACATTGTTGTGTTGAGCTTGTGTGTGTGTTTCAGTGTGGGAAACTAAGCAGGCATGTGAAAGCACTCACAGTCAGCATCAGCGAGGAAGAGGAAGCTGAGGAGAAGCAGGCCTGGACTGGCAGGGAGCATCGTGGGATAAGTCGACACATGCATGCTGTATCCACCGTGAGCTCACTGCCTCACTGAACAACAGGATGATAGAAAGAAGCCTTCACAACCTGAGGAGACGGGAGAGGAACAAAACAACGGTTGTAAATCCAGATTAAGATTTTCAGTTATTATATACTGTATGTGGTCCATCAGTGCATATATCACACACACACACACAGACGTGAGGTGTGTGAGTTCCCTCCAGGCCTCACACTCCACTTCTGCAGCTGCCTCTCCTCTCCTCGCTTCATTAGGACCATGCACTCGTTGCCGGAGGTGCGCTAGCGTGCGTGTTAGCGAGAGAGTTCACCAAGCAGCTGATGAATTTCAACATATGGCAAACATTTAGCAGTAAAACATCAGGATCCTCAGAAAATAATTTTTTAGCTCCCAAATGAGCAATGGCCTCAATTTTTCTTCGCCTTAGTTGTCACTCGTTACACAATCCAGCAGAGGAGCAGGCCGAACTTCAATATTGGATTTCTTCCCAATGTGCGTCAAAGCAGCATGATTTCAGATTGATGAAAAGAAGTGGATGGTGGTTTTAAGACAGAGGGGTGGAATGACAGAGCAAGGGATTGATGGATGATGGGGGGATTAAAATGGGAGGAGGCTGACTGGTGTTATCTGCTGGCTTTGTTGCACAAAGTGTTGGATCAACATCCAGCTCAGTGTCTCCATCCTTTCCTCTTTAGCTCGTTTCCTTCCTTGAACTCCCGTCTTTCTTTGCTACCATACTCCTTTTACTCCTGCATTTACTTCTCAAACATTCCCTCCTTCAACACTTACATCTATTTTATTCCCCTAAACTCAACTTTGCTTTTCTGAGCAACTTTTAGTCTCATTTCCATTCGGCGGTCTTTCTTTTTCTTCCTTTGTTTGTCATTGTATCGCTCTGCCTTCAGCGGCGCCTAATGCAAGAGTTTGGCATCAAAGGAGACAGAACTGTGTCAGAAATGTTGCAGCTCAAACCACACGATGTAAAGAGAAACAGCAAATCACTGCTGCTGTCCAGAATCAGACTAAGTTGAAGGAGAGACAAGTCGAAAAAAAGGGATGTGTTTACAGGATAGCTCAGTTTTAGGTTCATGCTTTCACATGTGCATTCCTGGGTTACAATCTATATTCCAATATGAATAGATACTACAGTTTAACAAAGGTACTCATTTACATTGACACTGGCATCATCAGCATTATACCGTTCTCCTTCGATGTGCACCAGAAGGACTTAAAATATACTTCAGTGTTTGTTTTTCGTCACCATTTCTGTTTCAGCATAGCTTATATTAGAAAATAAGGAGACTACTTTCAAGACATTTCATTAATATTATTTTCTATTTTCAAAATGTAGTACAATGATGAGCCTAGTTTCGGCATTCATGTATGTATGTGAGTCTGAATGATCCTTTGTGAGTAGGTACTGTAAATGCATGTGTTTGCATGAACTCCAGAACAGAATGCATTCATCATTATCAGCAGCAGGAGCAGCAGCAGTATTAATCCGCTCTGCTCCTGAACAAGCCATCTGATTAAAAAGATGAAGGGGTGGGGGTGGAAGGGCACTGGAGCTCAGAGCTCATAACATCCCTGCAACGGAGGCAGCAAACAGCTAAACCCACATTGGATTTTCCACTTGGTTTGGTCCACAACAATTGCTTTGGGATAATTTGGATCCCTCCCTGCACAAATTAAGTCCTGTGCACTGATTTATGCTACAGAAGACAGTAAAACTCAGCACTGCTGCATGAAACGGTTTAATATTGAGAGACTTGGTGCATGCACCACCAACACACTGGAAATTACAATATTTTTGCATCATTAGGAATCACATTAAAGGGAAAATTCCCTCTCAATAATGTGATTGATAATCTTGTTACTGGCTGAATCCTATGCACATCATTCAGAACAGTTGAAAAAATGAAAGATTCAGTTGAAACAGCGTCAACATTTTAGAATTAATAAAAGCAATTCATCTTCAAATAATGAAAATGGCATAATGCACAATTTCAGGCCATATTGCAAGATATTTCATGAGCTGTTAATACCCAGAATATACCTTGTGTCTCAGCTACTACAACACCAGATGTTAGCTCATAATCTTTAAAACTAACTGAGTTGTATATGTTAGAGTGTTTGCCAAAATTGATTATGTGGGATCTTGACTCCAAAATCCAAATCAGTAATAGTTGATGCTCAGTAGTAGGTTGTTAGGAGCTTGGATCGTGTAAGACTTCTGTCGTGAGGTCATGGTGGTTTACCATCATGGTGACAGTGTATCATGATAACGCAAAAAGCCGAGGCTTGGCAATTGAGAATTTGAAAGACTGGCTCCGATGACATCATGTCTACGGTACAGCCATGATTGTGACAAGGTTCTGGAAACAACCTAATGCAGATGTGATACCTGTAGCAGTAGCAATAAGCTTGAGTGGTGTGGTCTTCTAGCATACATCTAAAGGCTGTCTGAGAGAGTTTTGCCTGGGCTGGGTACAAAATGTAGAGCAATTGTGGGGACTGTAGTAATGTCACCATAAGAATATGCTTCTGATGTACAGGTCATGTTCAGGGCACAGGACTGCAACTCAGGAGTTTTGAAATGATCATGGAAAGCACATTTGGTGAAGCCTAAGAGTGTAACAGCACCACTGTCTTCCAGTTGAAGGTTTTCCAAATTTTCCACGATCCAGCTATGTTCCAACAGGCTGTCTTGTTCCAGGAGACTGCAATGGCATACTCATCATGTAAAGAGGGTCTAAAACAGCTTGAATCCATAGTTGTGGAAAAGTGACACAAAATACCCAAAGACAGATCACCGAAGATTCAAGACAGCAACAATAAACCTTCAGCTGTTGCTATAATAAAAGGTTCTGCAGCAACAATATTGTGTCCTGGGAACGTCTTGTGTTTGTAGCTTTTATTAGTGTTTGCCATGAAAAAGAAGAGTTGAACAATAATGTTCTTGTTCATGATTGCGTGTTCGTGTCTGTCTGTTACCAAATAATCTCATGGGCTACAGGACAAATTTTAATCAACTACTAGGAACTAATGGGGCAGCATGGTGGTGCAACTGGTAGAGCTGCTGCCTCTCAGTGAGCAGGTCCCTGGTTCAAATCCAGGTCCAGGGACCTTTCTGGGTGGAGTTTGCATGTTCTCTTCGTGCATGCGTGGCTTTTCTCCAGGTACTCCAGTTTCCTCCCATAGACCAAAAACATGACATGCATGTTAAATTGTCTCTAGGTGTGAGTGAGAGAGTGAATGGTTGTTTGTCTTGTTTGTTTTTATGTGTCCCTGTGATGGACTGGAGACCTGTCCAGGGTGCTCTCTGCCTCTCGCACAGTGACTGCTGGACATGGGCACTGGCAACCTCCCGCGACCCAAAAAGGAAGAAGCGGGTAAAGATAATGGATGGATGGATGGATGGATGGAACTAATGATTGGATGCTGATCTGCAACTGAATAACTTTTGGAGCCAACCCAATTCAAGATGGCCACCACAGCCAACTGACATTAAAAAGCACATAAATGGCTCTAACTCAGTCAGCTTTACAGATATTGAGGTACAATTTGATGCGACAGTAGATGAGTGTCATTTGTATCACGTTCTGAAATCTTGTGACATTGTGAAAAAATATTTATTTCTTAAATATAATGTTATGCCTTCTTTTTAAGGTTTGTTCAAAACTACAACTCTGTCATTTCTCAATATATGTCAACGTCAGTCTACTACTCTGGTAAGAAGTGCAGCAGGTGAAATGCATTCTTTAATTTAAAATGTTGACACATTTTGCCCTCAGTTGAGAAATTTATTTTGCAAAATGACGTATAAACTAAACATAAACACTATAGGGTCAAAGAAGACTGATGCAGAAGACCATCATTTTAGTGTTTGTGTGTGTGTGTGTGTGTGTGTGTGTGTGTGTGTGTGTGTGTAGCAGCTAATCACTCCAGCTGACTTGGTGTCACTAGAAAAGCTTGCATTATTTAGTTAGTTACTTCACAGCGTGTCACGTTAATTAAAAGGCTAAGATAACTCGGAGGGGGTGTTGTGGTGTGGGCAGTGATGGGGGGCAGATTAAAAGACATTTGAGGAGATGAGATGAGAAAAAAAGGTGTTTGGAGAAGGACAAATGAAAGCAGAGCAACAAATGAACAAGAATGTGGAAAAAAAGGACAGAAAGACGATAACTGGAGCTACGCTCACTCAGAGAGACAGAAAAATACAGCCAGGTAGTCACCAGATTGTAATCTGGGTGGCTGTTGTTGCTGGTATTACTGAGGGACTAACAGAAAGCCTCCCTCTGAGCCTGAGCTGCTGCTACTGCTACTGCTGTGGATCACAGTCAGCACTAAGCCATTCACTTACATTAGGCCCTATCACTCAATTATACACCGTCTGTCTGCCTGGGCCTGCTGATATCTGTTACACTTATCTCTTGAATGGCTTCTGACAGAACAATAACTGACTCTGAGATCAGCAGGCTGGCTGAGGATTCTGTGCACGGCCGATAATGAGAAAACAGGGAATACGTTAAGAAAATGCACGTAAAGTGAGAGTGAGCTCAAGGCTCTGTGAACAGGTTTTGCACAAGTTACCTGATGTAGGCAGCTCTTCAGACAATCAGAGTGTGGAGATTTAGACCTTAATTCTGAGCACAGTGATGGGATAAAGTCAAGTATGAGTGAGGCCAGGAGTAAAGTGTTACAGCCTTATAACACCTCAGGTCTCAAACTGTCCATAGTGGTCCAACTGAACATCATTTTATTAACTTTTACATCACCACAAATTTTGCATTACAGTAGACCCTTGTTACTTTGCGGTTAGTTTTTTTGGAGACTCGTTCTATCGCGTTTTTTTTTATTTTTTTTTAATAAGATTGCACATGACAGACAATTGGCTGATTGATGGATGAGCTGCACGATCGGCATGGATTTTTAAATTTAAAATAAATGATTTGAAATGATTTAGCACCTGCTGCACCTGTGTGCAGCCCACACTGCAGGGGGCTCCTTCCTCCTGCAGCTCCTCCTCCCTCCTCCTTCCTCATCGTCTCAACGGAGAAGTGGGCGT